GGTTGATCTTCCTGCTTAGAGGAAAAACTTGGCAATGGGAACAGTGGAGTGGGGGGACAGGACATGGGGTTAGTTGAATTGCTTTCTTTTCTCAGTGGCTTCTAAGTTCCCAGGCCTCATGGGAACATGTTTAAATGAACTCCCTCTCCATACAAACACACAATTTATTCTAATAATGGCACAATTCAAAGTGGACTACAGGCTCCTTCTGTCAACTTGAACATGAGCTTTAGAAATGTCATCTTTACTCAGGTTTGAAAGTTGTTTGTTTTTTTCCCACTTAAAAATTCTGACAGCGTAAGATTGGATTCGGGTGCAACTAGATGTCATGTGCTGGCAGGTTTAAAAAGTCGCTGTGTGTTGTTTTCCTCTTTTCTCTATCATAGGCCAGAAGGTCTCATTTACCAAATGTTCCGCAACCAGTTTTTAGCATTTTCAATTTTTCAAAGTGAGTATATTTTGAAATTCTGCATTACAACATGGGCCGGAATCTTATATACATTTCATTCTGCAGTAAGTGAAGTCACCTACGGCACAGTGACCAATGGCCGCTAATCACCATATTTTTCTGTGTATAAGACGCCCCCACTTTTCTAACTCAAAATTAAGAAATCTAAGTGGGGCTTAGCAAGTGGAGGGGAAAGCAGGGTTCCCTGCATTCCCCTCCACTTATTTTTGTTCTCTTGTCAGTGCTGATCCCTGCATTCCCCTCCACTTATTTTTATTCTCTTCTCAGCGTCCTTCCGTGTATAAGACAACCCTCAATTTTCAGTCTAAAGATTTTAGACAAAAGTATAGTCTTATACACAGAAAAATACGATAATGTGGTGTCTAGTTCCTGCCTAGCCCTGGCTTAATTCGCTTCAATTTGCTGGTGTAGCTTGCTGGATTTTTACTGAACTCTGGAATAAAATCCCAAAAGGATTCTATCTCTGAGCATTTTCTTTCTGTGCCACTAGGAAATAAACACATCACAAGAGATGCTGCAGGTTTAAGTCTGATGAGAACAGTGTGTACATCTTAAATGTAATTGACCAGAAAAGGGTGCTACCTTTGTAAAACACTGATAAGTGTTTTAAGAAAGATGTTACATTCTAGGAATCTCATGGTATAGCAATAATCCTTTTGGCTTTATAGTATGTAGAAAAACAGGTTTGGCAAACCTTTTCACCCCCACATAAAGAAAATAAGAATTCCCCTCTGCCCTCTACATTTCTGCACATATTCATGCAGTCACCTACTCTTAAGTGGTGTAACTCTTATTTCCTCCTACAGTCCAGATAAAGTTAATCTCTCCCCATTTCCAAGATGATTAAGCTTTATTTTCTGAGTATGATAGTGAAACGAAAGGCGTCTGCCTGAGGATTGTAGGGGGGAAATGCTGTTCCATTTCTCCTCGCCTCTTGTAATTCCCTCCCTGCATTTTGCTCTCTTCTCAAGGCAGAAAAGGAGCGCTTTCTCTCTGTACCTAGAGATGGTAGAGCTTTTTTTAAAAAAAATCATAAAAATAGGTCGGCAGGCCACATGCAGCCAACCAGTTGCCCTTCCTGGTTGAGCATGAGTGGAACAGGGCACATGGAAAAATTTAGGAACATGGTGTGCTTGTACCAATTGAGTTCAAAAGAGGAGCTCCTTAATTTCTTCCAGGTTGTGTCCAGTTTCTACAATATTACTACCAAAGCGGCTGCCTTTATAGACTTCGTGCGCTAGGGGAAAGAAACCACTTAGATCTCACCGTCGGTAAGTCATGCGTCTGCACATGCGCGTGATTGGAATTGATTTATTTAAACCTGCAGTCGTCCACAGGTTTCTGTTTAAATTACCTCCGCGGTTCTCCAAGCAACCGAAGAAATCAACTCAATTATAAAAGAGGAAAAAGATGCTGTTCTTTTAACGTGAAAGTGAAGTTGGGTATACTATATATGCGAATGGTTTCAATGTGAAAAAGAAACTTAAAATCAGGGGGGTGGGTTTCTTTTCACCTCTTCCCCCCACCCCAAAGTATCGGAGAGAAAGATGATCAGATTCCCACTAAAATATATTTGGGTGTGCTTTTTCAGATTCAGGGCAATTTTATCTTTCTGTGGTTCCTTTCTGGAAGTTGTCCTAGAGCACTTTAAGTTTGTATGTCGTTGTCAAAATGGGTATACAGATGATGCAAAGGGAGTTGTTGTATGTACACTGCATAACTCAGTGGTGGCATTTTGATCTCTCCATAGAGGGATTTCAATCCTGGATGTGGCGTGGGCTGACCTTCCTTCTTCCTTTCTTGTTCTTCGGCCATGTAAGTCCTTTATTCTCAAATACAGGATAAGGCCTGGTCTGTTAAACCTAGGTTTGCAGCGTTGTGGCAGTTTTACTGTACTGTATGGAACAGGCTTTGGTAGAGGCGATGTGTAAAGCAGCGGGGATTGTTAAACTTGGGTGTGTAAAGCAGTGGAAGCTGATAAACTTCGTGCTGCCCTGTAAAGCAGCTATCTAGAGTGGAAAATCGATTGGAGGCATAAGTTTAGTATTCTGGGTACCGGTTGTCAAGAGGCGACAAAACATCAGCTTTGGACTCTGCTGGTGTAAAGTTCTTCGTTAAGATTATTGTTCGGTTCTCTGCGAGGTGAGAGTGACATTTCTCAGCTCTTTCTTTTCTCCTGCCCACCTTCCTTCCCAGTTTTGGCAGCTCTATAACGCGATCACGCTGTTCGAACTGTCCAGACACGAGAAGTGTAAAGAATGGCAAGTAAGTCTTCGGCTTTGTGAAATGCAGCTCTGGGTTCCGCTAAGAGGCGGCTGCTTTGATCTTTACGGTCAAGACATCGCATTGGCGCAATGGCCTGAGAACCTTGTGCGGGAGAAATCTAAGCCTGGGGGGGCTGAACCCAGCCCTGCTAAGGTCCTACTGCAACCCCTCCAGGGTTCCCCAGATGGCTGTGTGCCCCCTTTCACAATCAGTTGGTGTTTCCTGGATTTTTTTCTATTCCCAACCCCCTCCATCCTTTCTACAAGTTTCAGATGCTATTCTTGAGGGTTTTGGCAAAGACAATACAAGCTTCACGCTAAAAGAGACTAATATTTTTGACCCTCCCCTTTGTCTTTACCCCCTGGCCACCTTAAGAATGCTGTTGCCACCTGACGTAGATTCAGCCTTGGGTCTCAAAGAGGTTCCTCTATCCTCCTGAACCTCAGATCAAAGGTCTATTTAATTCGACTTCCTGTTTCTCCCCCCCTATTGGCAAGCAAGTGCTTCCGGGGGAACCCCACGAACCACAGGGTTTAGAGGCACCCAGCCCTAGATGTTGACTATAGCTGCATCATGACCAGCAGCGATTGTTATTTTTACCGTATCTTTCATAGATTTATCTGGTCATGGGAGTAATCAAAGGGGAAGATAAGGAAAATTAGGCTTGTTTTATTACAGTTGAATTTTTTTTTTGTCTTGCTAGAAACAGGGAGGGGAAAAAACTCACAGTTAATTATGGTTTTCTCCATGTGAGACAATCTGACCTGTTACCCAATACAGTTTACCTGCATGTGTTCGGGTATGGCTTCTGTAACAATACTAAATATTTCTACTGTTGTCTCCAGGTTTTTGTGCTTGCCCTCACATTTCTGGTGCTCTTCCTTGGAAACTTCCTCACAACCCTGAAAGTGGTGCACGCCAAATTTCAGAAGAACAAACTGAAGAAGTTATGAAAAAAAAAACCACACCCACATATACGGACGCTAAAATTGGGGGATCTCTGTGTTTTTCTTTCTCTCTCCCCCTCCACTGTGATTAGACTCTGTTCTTCAATTCTACTTCGTTGCCTGCTCGTCCTGCAGTAAGCAAACCGGGAACAAAGTTCCATCTGCATTAAAGCCACCAAAGTCTTCCTCCGCTGATTTATTATTCATTGCAACAGCAGTGTCGCAAAAGCTGATTGTATACCTATTTATAATTACATGCAAATCTCCCCTGCCTATTTTGGGGGAATGCAGGGGGAAAAAGCCCTGTGAGTGCTTCTTTGTAGGAATAATAACAATTAAAATATATATATTCTCAGGAGAGAAAAAGGAAACTTGATTCTTTTGGAATAAAAAAAAGCCCTGAGATTAGACCTTTGCAGGAATAATGATAATTTAAATATATATATTCTCGGGAGAGAAAAAGGAATCTCGATTTCTTGGGTATAAAGCAAGCTTCAGTTAAGTTGAAGAAGTTCTAGGAAAGGAAAATCCATAAATATGGACGATAAAAGTGGAGTTCTCTGCCTTTTTCTTTCAAGCGCTTTCTTTGAAGTTCCACATATTGGAACTTTAAGTGGTTTTTCCAAGCTTTTTTCTGCGTGATGCAGGGCCCTGCTTCTGTGCAAACTGGATCAGGACGAAGACTGTTCTGCATTTACAATTGGTTGAAAACACTTTAGGTGAGAACATCTAGAACTTGTTTTTGATTATGATGGTGCCTATGGATGGAGGGAAGAGCGGGAATAGGTTTGCCCCTGTCTTTGAGGTGCATTCCAGCTATGCCAGTTTCTGCACAGGAAAGTTGATAAGAAAATATTTTCAAAAGCCAACAGGTGAGGTCATAATCTATCACTAGCTTTTTTTTTTGTTGGCACAGAGATGGAATTCATATTTAATCTTCAGCATTTGGATCATTTGTTCCTCAGAAGGAGGGCAGAAAAGATCGCAAATAAAGGACTTCCTCGGTTATGCAGCAGTTAGTTTTTGCTGTCTCCTATGATTTTTGAACATATTAGCAACTTACATACATCTGTTCTTCAAAAGCATTTTAAAAGTGAATTCACAGATGCTGAATAAAACTCACACCCTCTTCCCGACATGGGAATGTCACACACATCCAGCACGTTTCTCTGAAACTGAATTTGGCCCCCCAGGCAGAAAGGGTTTGCTCACCTATGGTACAGTTTAAAAAAAAAGGAGAGGGGGGAGATAATGAGACTAAAATGTTCTGTTGTAAACTGTACTTTCATCACCCAACTTCCCAGTGATTACCAAAGTAATGTGTTTAGTTTCATTTATTTCTCTCATGTTTAGGCAACTTTTCAAAATACTGTTTCCAAAAGCAGTCTACAGACGTAACAAATTAAAAGAATATAAAAACAAAGATGCAAAACAGAGTTTAAGCATGTAAACATTTAAAAATATCCCGTATACAAAAATAAAAGTTTTCAGGTTGAGATGGTTGTCAACAAATTAGATTCTAAGAAGATGATAGAGGGAAAATAATTTAGGCCTCCATTCAGTGTGCAAATTGGGAGGTCACTCAGGTAAGAAGGTGGTTTGATTAGTTAATGGTTGATCATATTGTCTGCAGAGCTAAGACTTTCAGAGAGACAGGCATCCATGTCCAGTGTGAGCATTTTCTAGAAAATTTTGAATTTAGACAATTTTCCAGCGAACTAATTAGGAAAATGATCTGATTTTCCTTGTATATTTGATTTATAGTAACAGAAAAAACACTTTTAAAGACCTCTATGACTCATAAATATGGGAACTGAAACAATAACTCACGTTGTGTGGTTTAAATATTCAATTCAAGGAAATTCCAAGTTTTTTGTTTTTAAAAAAGGATGGAAACTAATTTCAAACATATGGCAAGAGTGAAGTTATTTTTTTAAAGAATGTACATATGTCTTGGTGTTTAGAGTAAGTGGAAAAGATAGTGCAAAACCACTGACATGCTAATTTTAGCATAACTATCAGACAATGAATTGTGTGCTACAGTTGCCCACTTGAAACAGTTTGACTCTCTACTTCAGAGACAAAGCCTTTGGTTATCATTGCAATGCAGCAAACCTAAATATTCTAGTGATTTTTCTGCCTGCTACCATGGCCATTGGATAAATTCTGCTGACTGAAGTCTTTCAGGGAATTCAGGATATTAACTAAAGTTCACCTTTGCCCTGTACAGGTCAGTTGGCAGACAGAACGGTCTTATCCAGGGTTCCAAGTGAAACACCCATTACCTTTTTCTCTCTTTCTTTGTTGAAGAATATTCTTGGGGAATACAGAACGTGGAAAAGATTTCTCTCTCCCATGAGTAGCGCTGTTATTTGATAACCTGTTAGATCTGGTCCTTTGTATAAAGATCTCATTTCAAACCTGCAGGCATAGCATTTTGTTCTCCATGTCATAACTGATTCAGTCCTGATTACATTTGTCTTCCCCCTGCATCCATATGACGTAAGGTTTAATTCGAAACGTCTGCTTTTCTGTTCTCCCCATCAGGCGGGTTTATTTTTTGACTCAGCTCATTGTAGTGGGTGGTGGTTAGCTCTACTGTGTTTATCAGTGGAAATTAATTTATTGGTTACAGCCTCTCGTTGGCTGCTTAACTCAGCCATCCATTAGCTCCCTGAGAAGAAACAGCCCCAGAAAAAGAAGCTCAGCAAGAAAAATGCATCTCTTTTATTTTTGGCAGAAGAATCTTGAAGATTTCCTCACCAGTGTGGTTTTGGGTGGAAACTGCAGTACGCTATGCTCTCATTCATACCAAACCACAATGAACCATTACCAATCGGGGTATAGCTTCTGCTCTCTTAGGACAAATGCTCAGAAGTCTGGTATTTAAAAAAAGAGTAAACAATTCAGTTTTCACACAGAATTTGCTTTCCAGGTAAGCAGAACCGTACTTATCAGAGCCTATGTTGAGGTAGTTACTGAAAATGATGTGGAGTTTTAACAAAAATCTGCGTATATAGTTCACAAATGATCAATTAGAACAGTCTGTCATACAGGTTCACAGCTGTTTTAACATTACTATTATTACAGAATCCAGTGCTCACAGGAGAAATAATTGAAGCTGAGTAATGAGTTACTCAGCAAAAGATGTACTTTGTTCCTGGAATCTTGATAAACATACATCTTGGCAGTTTTTGCTCTGGCACAGGGTAGTTAAAGGAGGATTCTGGCCTCTCTCAAATAATGTCTTAACACTGCCATAAACAGGAGTGTTGAATGTTTTCTTGTGCAAATTCTACAGTTGTTCCAATGGCAACAGATTATTTCTGTCTTTTAAAAAATGAGCAAAGCAGGAATGTGAGAATTACAGAAACAACAATGCTCTATTCTAGCAGACATCTTTTTCATAATACTAAAATTCTACTCTTCTCACAAGTGGAAGTTAAAACAAAACCCTGAGAATGTTTCCCATTTGCTAAAAGCATAAGATTTCATTCTGCCGTTTGGCGAATTAAATGTAAGTAGAGCAGGAATTCCTGTATGGAAATAAATCTGATCTCTGAAAGTCCAGTCCAGTCTTGAACTTGTTTTTAAATAACTATGGCTTTTCTTACTAGCCAAGGTAGATTTCTGTAGGTCCATATAATGTCCAGATTATTATAATATGGCACACCTTCTTGATTTTGTCTGATGCTTAGCCTTTTTCATAGCGTTCAGGGCGATGCTAGCCGCTTCTCTAAAAACCGATTCAATGTTTTCCCGAAACTTTGCAGAACACTCCAGGTAAATGTCTGCATTCATCTGCTGGCAAACTTCTTCACCCTGGAGGAAAACACAAAGATAACGCCTTCAGGATGAGAGCTAACCCAAAGGCGAAGGACAGAGGCAAAATGAGAAGCTCATGACTCAATGGTGTGCAGTGCCTGACACCAAGTGTCCTTGAGTTGAGCCAAGAGAAGGAGCCACAAGAAGCAAAGATGGTGCTCCTTCTCCCATTCTATGCGCAGAAGGTGGTCAGATTACCAGCTGAATCGGGACAGCTCCCTCCTCAGCAGCTGAGGAACAGGGTAGTTGAATGGACTCCAAAGAGGCCATCTGGCATCCATGGCACTGCCCCTTTCCAACAGGGAGAAGCAGCTGTGGGCAGCGGGGGCTCAGGAACATGGATGCGAGTCTTTGCGTCTTTCATTCCTCTGAGAATGAATGAGCAAATTAAGAACTCTCCTCCCTGCTGGGTGAGATCACGTGATTTTTTGTGCCGTTTTTTTCCTTTACATTTTTGAGCTTCTTGGATGAAAAAATGTATTCGGGTGTTTATGTAAAATGCGATGGCTTTAAAAAACAAAACCCTAAAATATAAGGATTGCACCACCATCACCCCCATTTTAATGCTAGTGCTGATGAAAAAAAAATTGGTGTCTTCCCATTCATGAAAGAGCAAAAAATCTTGAAGCAGTTGATAGCTTTTTCCCTGTCAAGGATGAAAAATACTGGGAGTGCTCATAAGCTCCCTACTGAGGAGCAACAATCAGCCAGTTAAGTCCTCCCACCTATCTCTAGTATTCACTGCCTAAGGCACTTTGTCCTGGGTACATCTGCAGGCAACCTGAGAAGTAAAGATCCATATGTGAATTGGAATGATCCTCAGAAGCAGACTTGCAGAGAGTTCAGTCAGAATTAATTAGATGGAATGTACTTCACACTGAACGTACACATGGTTGCACCGTGAACCATTCTCTCTTTACCTGGCTATACGTAATCGGCTCTTGCTGAGCAGAACGGAGCTTCCTTAGATGTTCTTTGTCCTTCCGCAGATCCGTTTTGCAGCCCACGAGCACGACAGGAGTTCCACGGCAGAAGTGGTTCACCTCGTGAGACCACTGGTGTAAAGAAAGAGATCTAAGTGTTCAAACTTCACTCGGTGTGACAAAGTCAGTAAACGCTGATGGACACATTTCAGAAGCTAAGCGACAGGAGAGTTGGAAAGAATGCAAACTATCGAGAAGGTGGGGAAAGAAATAATTAAACTAGCTAAAAATGTATGAAAGAAATGGAAGGAAAAGCGAGATCGTGGATCAGTGCTGAAATAGAACAGGAGCACAAGTCAGTAAACGCTGATGGACACATTTCATCAGAGTTGGAAAGAATGTAAACTATCGAGAAGGTGGGGGAAGAAATAATTAAACTAGCTAAAAAACATATGGAAGAAATGGAAGGAAAAGCGAGATTATGGATCAGTGCTGAAATAGAACAGTAGCATCTAAGCGACAGGAGAGTTGGAAAGAATGCAAACTATCGAGAAGGTGGGGAAAGAAATAATTAAACTAGCTAAAAATGTATGAAAGAAATGGAAGGAAAAGCGAGATCGTGGATCAGTGCTGAAATAGAACAGGAGCACTTTGTTCAAAGGCAACTAGCATCAGCAAAGGCTTCCCTACCTTTGGTAAGAAGAGTATAAAAACATCTGCCTTGGACTGTTCTTGCTTATCAGGTTTAAAGATGGCAAGTCTTCAGCAGAAGCTTCTTACCTTAATTAACACATTGTCAAAGCTAGTAGGGTTCATGACGTCGTAACAAATTAAAACCACGTTCGTGTTCTGATATGACAGTGGCCGTAGGCGATCATAATCCTCCTGTCCTGAAGCACAGGGAAAAAGCAAACAGCTTAATTTAAACCTGCCTCCATCCAGTTGTTCTGTGTGATAGCGACAAAATTTCTATTGTTGGAAGCTGGGAAACCTAACCTTTCAGGTTCCCGCATCGTTTGAACGATAGCAATTACAGTTTTTGACTATTCCTTCCCTTTGTATAATAATCCGATAAACATGAAGTTACAGCACCCTAAGCTATCCAAAGGGTGACATTTCCTGCTAACACCAGTGTCTTGTACAACTTAAACTGCCCTTGATTTGCAGATACTGATGTACCTTGGCATGCCATCTTGATTAAGCTCTGAGTCATGTTGGTTGTGCCATGCTGTATTAGCTTAGTCAGCAGGAAAGCAAAGTTCAAACAATATAAATTTTAATCTGTGAAAATCACATCATTCCAACCCTCTAGGATTTGTAGTGAGAGGTAAATAACACGAGAAAGAATTTGATCAAGGATCAGGGCTCCATGGATTGGCCACTCCTTACACTTCCCTTCCGTACACGCAATCTATTCTATGGGCTACAAGGGTTCTGGGTGGGAAACATGCATTTGGCAGGGAATTTTACCCTACCACAGCGGATTCCGTACATTTTCTATGTCCTGGAGTGTTCATGTGTGTAATCCTTGTTGGGTCTTGTTGTTTCCCCACATAAGATTAAAGTTTAACCTTGAATTCACCCACCAATCTATTGTGGCTATCAACTGGAGAGAGAATTTTGGGACTGAGGTCTTCTGATTACCCTCCCTGCCCAACTCATCTTGTAAAAGAGCTTGTCATAAGCTTCCGATGAGTTCTCAGTTTGAAATGAACGGTTGTAAATCATACGGATATAGTCTTTAAAAAAAGTAACCTGACACATCACATGTCTTGCAATATATTTCCATCCAGTGCAGGAAATTTTGACATTGCTCGTACATGCTTTTGACAAACCACAAAATTTGCATGTTTTTCTTTTAGACCAAGATTACCTGCAGTGTCATATAGATGCAGGATTACTTCTTTCTTTCCCACTGTGACGCTGGTGGTGTATTTCTCAAACACTGAAGGAGCGTATTGCTGCCAGAAATAGGAAGCAGAGTGCAGTTAGTAAATATTCTGATTTTCCACCACCCTTTTCTCCAAACCGTGGCGAGTTGTAACTGACTGAAATCAGGATTGGAGTTTCAAAACTTCAGGTGTTGAAGATAATACTCTAGATGGATATAATTTATGCATTTGTATAGGGAATGTGCATACCAATGTGACATTAAGATGGAGGGACTTTCCACACCAAAATTCCCTTTCTTTTAGGTTATCTTTAGTGCACAAGTGGGTCTGAGGACTCACAAATGGGTCACAGTCTGATCTCAGTTAAGATGCTGTTATGTTATGCTATTATTTTGTTTGCCAAGGACATCTACCCACTCAACCAACCAATTATGACATGTACTCAAGATAAAATCAAGGAAAATCTGCAGAAGCAAGTGGTGTAGTCCACAAAAGCTTGTGCAAAATAAGCTGTTCTCTTCAAGGTTCTACATGATTCTTGGAGGGTATCCCACCCCCTCATAAAAGTTAGTGGCTACTTGCTTGACAACTTTTTTTTAAACCGCTGGGTGTTCCTGCCAAAGACAGTGGTTAATTCTACTATAGCCTTTCTCTTTCCAAGCCACCCCATGATGCCATATTGCTCTTCTTTCTGAAAATCCATTTATTTATGGAGTTTGAAAAGCATCTTGGTATATTCTCAAGCTGAGATGGTGCTGAGAAGGATTTTATTACAACTGGCAACGTCTGTAATAGAAAAGAGCACAATTCTCTTAAATTTCCAATGTGCTAACAGTTAAAGCTGTGACAGGAAGACCTTAATCGGAACATCCTGCCACTATGTGGTTTAGAGGCAACTGGAGGAGTTTCTTGAGATCATACCTCTTTGCTCTTGTTAACTACTTTGACCAAAAGCTACAGTTACATGAAATGTCATACGCAGGTCTTGTAACCTTCACACAAGCTAGTTTAACTCTCTAATTAAGGGTCTTTCCTCTCTTTGGATCAGCCTTCAAAACCTGAGTGAGAAGGACTACACATAGATCACGTGAAGGTATCTCAACAGATTTCCGGGGTCTACAGGTTTACTCATTCATAGTGCATGACTCACTTTCCCTTGCGTTGCCGTAAAAATGAAGTGCAACAGCTTGGCCTGACAAGATACTAAGAAATACAGCACATTGACTAGTTGGGGATGTTGCATTATTCTGCCGAACTGGTACCGAACGCTCTTGTTTCTCCTTGCAAGTCACAAGGGATCCAAGCCTCCTTTGATGCATATTTTATGAACCATATATATTTGGATGGGATGGTAAAACGTTCTGTTTTCCGTAGAAGCCTTGACGCGAGTCTTCTGAACAGTACCAAAGGAAGCTGGCAGCTGTAGGCTGGTGTTGTTTTTACAGTTTTCTATATAAAAGTGCTGCTATAAACCTACGGTGATTTTCAAGGGAGCTGCGTCGACTCCATTTGAGCTTCTGGGAGGGATAAATGAGATGTCTATACTATACTTTCCATGAGGCTGTTGTTGAGCTTTCAAAAGATATGCAGAGCTACAGGGGAATTCTGTAGAATTATCTCAGGCTATAAGGTCGATTCTTTAATTCATCTTTTCAAGATGCTTTTAAGTCGTGATTCCGGGAGAAAGGTGACATATAAACGGCACTAATAAATAAATAAATTGGCGAGGAACATCCTCAGATGTTGTTAGGCCATTCTCATCAGTCCAAGCCAACATAACCTAGGGTTATGAGGGATGATGGGAACTGTGGTCCCATAATACTCTATACCCATCCATTGTCTATAATATCCCATATTATCAAAGGGAACTTATTTTTTTAGGGCTTCCACGGACCTGGGGGAAAGTGGTATAGGGAGAATGATATAGTATCTACTCTGTGGAAGACCCATATAGTTATTTCTAACCTGATGGATTTCAGATTTGGCAAGAAATAGCTTAAAGGTTACATTGGCATGACAGTTTCCATCTAAACTCCTCCAAGACTTTGTTTAACTCAGTATCTAGATTAAGTGATTCTACTTCACCTTTCTCTTAAAAATACTCAAGAAGGCTTGCAAGCAAAATAGAAATAATAGAGGAAGTTTTTTTTTTCACAAGTAGAAATCGATCAGTAAATTACAGAATCAAGTGCCAGATAGAAAAAAAAAAGGGAATAGGCACCCAAGATACAGTAAATGTTTTATAGGGACAAAGTGTTTTCTTCAGAAAAAGACTGTAAAACCGTGTGAACCTGTATATATATATACTGTATACAGAATGTGAAACATATGAAATATGAGGCGCCCATGGAACCATCTGGAACCCCCGGGCGGAAGCTTCCCTCAGGGACGACAGAACGCCTTGGGATGGATGGAGCTGGAGGGCGGGGCGAGAGGAGTGGGCGCTGATTGGCTGACGGCGTCCAGAGAGCGGGAAGCTTCCCTCGCCGCCCCTCACTCACCTCAGGGAACGTGCCTTCGGCGTAGACCTGAAGCAGGGACGTTTTCCCGCAGCCCCCGTCGCCCACGATCACGATTTTCAGCTCTTTCTTTTTCTTCCTCACGCCTTCCTCGCGGGGAGCCGGGCTCTGGTTCCCCTCCGGCTCCCCTCCTTCGGGCACCGACCCGTTCGCTTAAAATAGAAATAATAGAGGAAGTTTTTTTTCACAAGTAGAAATTGATCAGTAAATTAAAGAATCAAGTGCCAGATAGAAAAAAAAAGGGAATAGGCACTCAAGATACAGTAAATGTTTTATAGGGGCAACGTGTTTTCTTCAGTTTTCTTCAGAAAAAGACTGTAAAACCGTGTGAACCTGTATATATATATACTGTATACAGAATGTGAAACATATGAAATATGAGGCGCCCATGGAACCATCTGGAACCCCCGGGCGGAAGCTTCCCTCAGGGACGACAGAACGCCTTGGGATGGATGGAGCTGGAGGGCGGGGCGAGAGGAGTGGGCGCTGATTGGCTGACGGCGTCCAGAGAGCGGGAAGCTTCCCTCGCCGCCCCTCACTCACCTCAGGGAACGTGCCTTCGGCGTAGACCTGAAGCAGGGACGTTTTCCCGCAGCCCCCGTCGCCCACGATCACGATTTTCAGCTCTTTCTTTTTCTTCCTCACGCCTTCCTCGCGGGGAGCCGGACTCTGGTTCCCCTCCGGCTCCCCTCCTTCGGGCACCCACCCGTTCGCTTCTTCCATGAGGCTTTCACCCGCCCCTTACACCTTTCCCCTCAGGATGAAAAGCGCGGGAAGGGGGAAAAAGGCGCCTGGAGAGGAGGCGAAGGACTTCGAGCCGTCTCCTGCCTTGTGGGGACTCTCTTTTTTTTCTCCTCTGTCAAGGCGGCTCTCCTGAGGCGGTTTGGAGAGAAGCCGTCGCCTCTTCCTCCCCGTCGCCCGCCTTCCTTCCACGGGGAGGGGGAAAGGATGCGGTCGGGTGCTCTTGAGGCGAAAAGGTTTCGCCTGTCGGAAGCCGACGCAGAATCCTTCCCTCTGTGGGGCAACGAATTAAGAAATAATACCGTGCCCTCCCTCAGAAGGGAAAGTGGCAGCAGGTTCATGCCCAGGGGAGGTTACAAGAAGGAGGAAATCAATAAGAGAGGAGTGGTTTTATTTCATTTATTTAAAATACAGTATGTTTACGCCGCCTTTCTCCTGCGGGGGGGGGAGAAAAAAAAAGGCGGCTTGCATCATTAAAACCACAATAGGAAAAGCTTTTTAAAAAACCACCACCAGTAAATTATCCCATTATTAACGTTGAATTGATGGAGAGGGATAAATAAGAATGTTAAAATTGGCTGTGTTTTCTTACAACTCCCTCTTAAAAAAGTCAGAGCAGGAGGCAGTTCTCCCTTCTCTAGCCATCCTCCCCTTTTGAGGGCCCATTTTAAAGACTTGATTTTATTTTTAAAATAATCTCAGGCTTTTAAAGGGAGAATATAAATTCCCACACACACCCCAGCGTCTTGTGAAAAATTAGTGCTGCCTCAAGCTATGTGATTAGCACAAAAGGCGTGGGACAAAATCAAAGGACAAGAAGTCATACCAGAAGTCAAGAAACAGAAAATGTTTATTTATATTATTTATATACCGCCTTTCTCTCCATGGGGACCCAAGGCGGCATACAGCAGGTAAAACAGCTTTAAAAACAGTGTGGAAATATAACATTTAAAAAATAATTATCTACTGATGAGTTTCAAATTCATCTTTATTTTGTTGAAACTGTGGTCAAGAGTCCAATAGAGGAATGGATTTTTAGAATCAGACTAGTGATAAATTGCAACATCTTGGATGGAGAAAAACCCACCAGGGAGCCCACCCAGCCTTACTGATGACAATCAAGAGGAGTTCCCCCGTCATGACGGTTTGACTTGCTTTGATCTTGTGTGTTCAGGACAGGAAGCAAGCCATTTTGTTGGATGACCTAACAGCTGTTAAAAGTAGTTGAAAGCATGAGGGGTACCTGTTGTATGTACCTAGAGCTGCTATAGTAGTGACAGACTTGGTTGCCCCCATTGATAGCATTCCAGTGGACACACACACAAAACCCCATTGCCTTCAGCATACAGTACTTAACTACAGTATCTGGCACATTCAATCTTATATGAGCCACACACACACACACACACACACAAAACATTGCCTTCAGCATACGTACAGTACTTAACTATCTGGCACATTCAATCTTATATGAGCTAGGTTTGCCTTGCAATGTGATGCTTTTAATCTGCAAAGTTTATTTTGATTGGTGGTTTAATATTTCCATTTGAGTATGAAACTCGCTTATTATTGTTAGTAACTTTAAGTATTCCTAATGATGTGGAAAGGCAGGAGAGAAATATTTTAATAATATTAAAAATGGATGTAATGGAGTTAGAGGATTCCCCCTCAGGCAGAACCTAGAGTACAATCTCAAATCAATCCTAAAATTTTCATGAAATTCAATTGTGCTTATCCCCTATCAAGTGAATATAGCATTGCAGCTGTGACTGATTAAGCAGTTTCTGTGGTATCTCAGAACAACAGGGCAAGACATATTAAAGGGGGACATTTTAAAAATGTACAGTACTGTACTTGTAAAAAGTATAGCTCTACAATCATCACTACTAGGTTTTGCCACTAGATGGCGATCTAGATCTAAATAACAAATGCTTTGCAAGTTGTACACCCAACAGAGGGGAGAAATGAAGGCTAGTCAAGAGACATGTTAATTGTTCAACTGTCCAGAAAGGTCATACAGCCAAAATGCTAAATATATTTATACTTTGCATCCAACAGGTCTTCGGGCCTTTTCTCTTGAGTAACAGACTTAGAAGCACCATGTTAAATCTCTAAAACTGAATTTACAAACCCAGTAAGAAATATTTAAAACATGAAACATCTGGAATAACTATGAACTATAACCTTAAGTTTTTAATTACTGAAACTAACAAAATACCCGCCTTTCATTAACAATATATTTATACTTGCCTCCTTTGGTTATTATTACAGTGTCCTCAAAGCAGAAGCAGCATGTATTGGCACAAATCTACTTACAGAGAGTGGTGGTAAGAACACTAAAAACCTTCCAATTTTTTTTTTTGCCAGTCAGAAACAATCAGGCCCATCTGGGGGTGGAAGTCATTGACACCCTTAAAAAAAATCTAGTTATTAAGTTTGTACTGCTCTCCCGTTGTTACATATAGCCAAAAATAATGGGGATTTATATTTAAAGCATCAATGTGACACACAACAAGCTGAAGTATATTCTATATACTTAATGAAGAGAAGCGGGTTGTGATGGTATTTATCCCAATCTGTGCATGCTTCAGGATCATTAATGAAATGTTACTGAAAATCAAGAGTTCTTTTCATCACTTTCATGTGGTTATTGAAAATACTTCCAAGTAAATGTTAAAAGAGATCCACTGTTCTGTGGAACTTTCAAAACAATTCAACCAGCAAGTCAGTAAACCAGACATAAGTTAAAATAGTCTTTATTTTTTTAAAAAATTAGGGGTTGCAGCAGGGTTCAAGAAAGAGAACAACATTGTACAAATCCTGTTTAGCTATATTTCCTAGCAGCTGATTTCCTGCAGTGCAGTTGCCATGCTGTCCCCCTAAGCTAAAGCAACTGTTCAAACATTAACTAGTATTATAGATATTGAAAAGTTGCACACCACTACACAAGGTAGTTACATTCAATGCTCCTTCTTTGGCCACCAACACTTCCAATATTCCAACACTGTCCTTGTTAGTAACCATCAGCCAGTGACCTATTGTTAACATGAATGTTTTAGTTATACGAAAATGTTTGGGAGTAAAACACCTACCCATGGACTAACGAAATAGTTCAATATATGCCACTTTGCTGCTTGAAATGAAAGTCTACTGAACTAGATGGTCTATCCAGACACAGGAAGATAAGAATTAGGAGTGGAGCATCCCAATATTAAAGAAAGAAGATTCTGAAATACAAATTCTTAAAAGTCTAGCCGTTAAACCCACAGCTACACTCAGTGTTCGCATCAGTGTTCCCCAGATGGGATGCCTTCCATCTATCCCACAATGCCTCACCATGCTTATTGGAACTGTAGTCCAAAACATCTGGAGGGCACCCGACCAGGGTGGGAAAGCTTACACTATGTACTGTGAGCTAAACCATATGTGATCCATTTGGTTCAGGGCAGTGCTAAACACAGGAAGAGAGCTCTGTCCTTGATCATAAAGGCCTCACGCTTCCCCGCATCATTCTGTAGCAACAATTAAGCAATTTGGATTACATTGCTTCCTCATTTCTCACTGAAGTGTCATAAGACATTTTTCTTCTAAAGCAGGCGTTCTTGTTGTCTATTTCCCCTGTTGTTATGCTGATGGCTTACCAGAGGTCCTTTCTCAAGTTACCAATCTGCACATTTTCCAAACATTCTGTTTTTAAAAGGGAAGTTATCAATTGCTCACAAGGGGGTCATTTTTCAAAGATATTGTGGCCCAACAGCTCTTCTCTCCAATTATTCTTTACTGCAATAACAAACTAAAGATGATTGAAGACTTTGGGTTTAGAGGTGTGCTTGTATACATAGTAGCTTATAATGCAATTTCCAGCAAGAACTAGCTGGTTATTTATTTGAATTATTCAAAGTTCTGTGCCTTCCCTCTGCCTCTCATATTACCTCTCTCTAGGTCCTTGTTTGCTGCAGTGACAAAAAAATTAAAGGGGCAAAGTTTTTCCATCCACCCTTCCCTCGATCCAGGCCCTCTGTTCAGTTTTGCTCAGTCGCATTTGGCCCTCTTAAGAACATAAACATCTGTAACCCTGGCTCCCTATCCAGCAGGAAGTTTTAGTGAAGCCCATAAATAGAACTTGAAAGTGGCATTTCCTAGTAATTAGTGCCTGGTGGAATACTGTGTCTGTAGGAGGAGATTCTGTCTAATCAACAATGCCTGTTAGCAATAGAAGAGAAATGTATTTTTCATGAGTGTATCAAGACCCCATTTAAAACTAGTTAAGTCATTGCATGTAATTATGAATGCCGTCCATTCCACAGTATGTGAAGCAGGATTTATTTGGTTCATACTTCCCATCATTTTTACCGGATGCCACCAAGTTTTAGGAGGAATGTGAGAACCCTCTCTCTGCATATTCTGCAGGCCATGTTTTCAACCAGTTCCTCACATCTTTCTTTGCTCAGCCCCTTTCTGTGCAGCCCCTCTTCCTTTCTGTGTGTGTCTTAAGTTCCTCTGCTGCACACACCCCTCTCCCCCAAGAGCCCCTTCCTAGTGCTAAGATTAGTCTTTTCTCCCAGCTAAGTTCCTTCCTGCCCCCTCCTCGCCTCAGTCCACTGCCTACTTAGTATCCTTGCTTCAGCTCCCTGTTGTTTAGGATTCCAGCCTTTAGCATTTCTTTCCCCAGTCCTCAGGCGTCTCTACATGATGAGACTATAATCCCATACTAGCTGCTTTCTTCTCCTTCACAGAACCTCACAGCAAACTGCTTAAAGCAACTGAACATTAACTCATTGCACCGGCTTAACCAATCAGTTTCAAAAGCTTTGTCCTAAAGTACAGTGTAAGGTTTAGAGGTTAAATCCTGGATGACCAGAGTTCAAATCTACCATTAATTTACTGCAGCCTTAGAATCTCCTGCACTTTAGTACTTCTGGGGGAGGGGAGCAAACCAAAGTATGTTGCATGTCAGCAGTCATTAAAGTACGGTAATTCACATAATCCAGGAGGC